ACAGAACAGTGTCATTGATTTCACATGCAAGCAAGATTCTACTGAAGATTATCCAAAAACGACTGGAACAGTACATCAGCAGAGAACTGCCAGAACTCCAGATGACTGGTTAGGTGGAGGGAACATAAAAAAAGGACAGCCCTGGACCCCAGGTGGATTGGCAGTGACTGCAGCAGTGGTTGCAAGTGTGTCAGGAGGTGTGAAGATGGCACAGGTGCAGCAGGGTGCAGATCGCTGTTCACTGGGCCGCTGAGTCGTACTCAGCTCGATGGCATGGACCCCCACCACCCCCATCACCACTGGTCCCACTGTACTCCTGCCTGCCCCTCTCAGTTGCCCTGCTCCACTTGTCTTTTTCTCGAACGACCCAGAGAGTGAGTAGCTGGGCACATGGGCCGTGAACGCTGGGCTGTGGCTGTTCACCTCGGCTGTTAAGGAAGCTGCCTGGGCAGCACATACACTAATGAGCGAAGTGGGCTTCCCTTTGAAGGCTTGGTTTCCGGAGCCAGCAGATGGCCTTCTGCTCAATCAGGGTTTTTAGACCAGCTCTCAACAGAGTCTCCATGCTCCCACTTTTCGATATAGTTGGTTTGTAAACAAGTGAAGATTAAGCAGATCAAAAGATCTTCCCCCTTGAATTTAAAATGGACAATATGGCCCAGCAGTGAATGCCTGGTTAGCATCTGACAGACACCCTGGCAGTCGGCCAGGCGTTGGTGTTCAGTCACTGTGCGGAGGGCAAAGTCCTGGGACGGGACAGCGACCATTCAGCACTGAGGACACTGGTGGACTCCACATATGGTGAGCGGACCAGATAGTGCCCACGCCTGTACCAGCGCCATGACGGGGTGCAGCTTGGACCTTTGGTCCCTGGAGCCTCCTTTTCCGAGAGTAGCTCACCAGGCCTTTCTTCCTGGTCTTAGTCTAGAAGCTGTCGTGAAACCTGTTTGATGTCATATCGACATGCAGACCCCGGTGTTGGAGGGGTGGTGGCTGCACGTGCCCTGGACCCCCATGTGGAAGGCAGGGTGCTACCACGGAACCAGGACCCCACGTGTCAGTCGAGTCCACTCCCACCCTGGCTGCTCTCTGGGGCCGAGGAGAACTGCCTATGGACTTGGCAGGGCTGAGCATCTTTACAGACACAGGCTGACCTTGCCCTCCTCCCGTGGGCAGCTGAATGCTTTGACCACTGCACCGTGAGGGTTCCTTGATACTTAGGTTATTGTTGTTGTGTACCATTGAGAACTGACCCATAGCTGACCCTCCAGTGGGTTTTCAGAGGCAGTTAATTCCATGGGTGGAGATTTCCCATCCTTCTCCTACAGAGCAGCTCAGGGACTCAAACCATGTGCCTCTGGGGTTGCAGCACAGCTTCTTGCTACTAGGCTACCTGAGCGTCCTGATAATTAATGGAAATAATTGTATATAAGTTCATAAATCTTTTCTCTCCTTTCTTTTTTTTTTAATAAAAAAATCTGTGTTTAATTATGATGATGTATAGTAAATGGATTAATGGTATTTCTGCTTAAATCCAGCAAGATCGCTGTGATTTGTTAGTTGTTGTGAAGAGTCGTTGAATGAGTGCCAAGTCAGCCACCGGCCGCACAGCAGAACATGACCGAGCATTGCCTGGCCGTTCGGCAGCCTCACACTGGCTGCTGTGTGGGGCTCGTAGTAACCGCTGTACAGAGCCCACCATGGCCATGGAGCTCGTAACCGCTGTGCAGAGCCCACCGTGACCGTGGAGCTCGTAGTAACTGCTGTGCGAGAGCCCACTGTGACCACAGAGCTCGTAGTAACTGCGGTGCCCAGCCCATCGTAACCACATGCCAGTCCTCTGCCGTGTGCACCTCCTTTTCTCCACAGACGCTCTTTTTTCCCAGGCTTGATGTCTTTCTCCAAAGATCAGGCCCTCCTGATAACACACCTGACGTCTGGGACACAGTCTTCTACCCTCACTTCTGTTTACCGTTCTGGCCACATTTCTTGGCCGACAGGTGCTTGTTCTTCGGCCGCCGTGGACTCACTCTTCTTCACTGTCACCACAGTTCAAAGGTCTCTGTCCTCTGGTCTTCCGTACTCGTTTT